GCAGCAGCAGCGGCAGCTTAAATTTTTTTTTGCAAAAAAAGCACATTCAATTAGAGTTCCAACACCAACCAAAAAAAATTCGAGCAGCTTTTCCAGGAGGGTGCTTAACCCGTGGCGCTTTTCGCTCTGGATAAGACAACCAGTCCAGTGGCAAAAAAATCCCCCCTTTGTTACGCATGTTATTACATTACAGCGCGATTTTTTTTGATTACGCCTTTATTTTCAGTTCTCCTCCCCCGTGACGCCCTTGCCCGGGGCGGGCCCCGGTTTGGGAGGGGGTGCGGGAAACAAAGGTGGGGGTTTTGCGCCCCCGGGGCCCCCGCCCTTGGTTTTTTTTTTTTGCCCCAGCCCCTGCACCAGGTTTTGGGGGCATTGGGGGATTGTAGGGTTGATTTTTCCCGGGGACTCGGGGTACAAGTCCACGACTTTTTCCGGGGAGGGGGGGGGGGGGGGTCATGGATGGCAGAGACAAGTGCGCGAGGCAAGCGGGGGAACAGGTGAAAGACAGAAAAGCGAGAGGGGGGGCGACAGATAGATAACAAGACAAACATACACATCAACAACACAAAAAGGTACTCATAGTCGTGAGCTTTTGAACGAAAGAAAAAAAGAAAAAGAGGCATTCTGCGCGTAAGACTCAGCTGCAAGTCAAGCATCAACAAAGGTCCACGATCGCTTGGTGTCGCTGCATTGTTCCCATGGGAAGGTGGTGCGCCTGCCAACGAAACTGCTGAATGCCGCTACACTGTATCACCGCACCGCTAGTGGAGAAATTAGGAGGCTCGGCGAGACACTGCTTTCGGCGGTCTCCCGTCGATTCGCCCCCGATGGGGTAAGGAGACGTCTTGCCTTTTGCTCAAAGGCGGGAGGGACAACTCAATGCGGCGCACCCGTGATGTCATGCAAAAAAACATCACGCACTGCTGTCTCACCCGCAATAAACTCCACAGCGAGCAAGCAAACACCAACACGACCGGCGACGAAAAACTCACCGGGCTCGACCCAGCCGGAAAAGAACAGCTTCACACCCTCCACCGATGCTAGATTCGCCGTCTTCAAAGACTCCATGTATTGCACCTCTCCGAAGGGGGCCCTGCCGATGGGAGCATCCCCCGACGCGCCTGTCGCTCCCCCGCTACCCGCGCCTCTTTCTCCTCCTTTACTCTCTTCTCTCCCGTCACAACCAACAGCCGCGTCCGCGGCCTCCCCGCCTCCAAACTTATCCGCCGGGCTGAGCTGTGCCGCCTCTGCCTCCACCCCTATCGCTAGCCGGTCCGCGCTCGACTCTCTCCCTTCCCCTCCCTCGCCCCGTCCTCCTCCTGCCGCTGCTGCTGCTGCTGCCGCTCCATCCGTGCTCTCGGAGCCGACTCCCTCCCCGAGGGGCTCCGTCACGCGGCGCGCGGGGGGGGGTGTTTTCTCCGGCTGTCGCCGTTGTTGTGGCGCAGGCGACACCGAGCCCGCCGCCGCTTCTGCTCCCGCCCCCGCCGATTTCGTCGAGGGCACCCCCGCCGCTGTTGCCATGCTTCCGGCAGCATCGGTAGAGGCAACAGCAGTAGCAGAGGCAGGACTAGCGACAGGCGAGTTGAGGAAGGCGATCCACCGCTGGTAAACCTCCACGCGCACCGGACACCGGTACTCCGGGAGCTCAGACGAGGCCAACATCCATCGGCTTACGCGACCCGCTACCGAATCCATGGCCTGGCGGTGATAGAGCGGGGGGCGGGGGGGGGGGGGGGGGGGGG